AAGGGACATGGGCAGGGTGGGAGAGGTCTAGATTAGCCAGATGAAGAGCGACGGGGGCACGAGGCTGCCCTCTAGTGCAGGTTTTTGCTACTCCTGCTTCTCTGTCTATGAGCGAACCCCTTTCTCCTGCCATGTGTCTGTAGCCTCTGGACCCTCCTGACCAGCTGTCTTCTTGCCTGCAGATCATAGGGCAGGTGTATGCTGATCCCGATTGCCTGCCCCGCACACTGGACTTTGGCCTCAATGTCAAGCTTTTCTGGGAGAAGTTTGTCCCAACAGACTGCCCCCCAGCCTTCTTCCCCCTGGCTGCTATCTGCTGCAAACTAGAGCCTGAGAGCAGGTTGGTGCTTCACCTTTCCTCCCATCTCACAGCCCTAAGGCCCTAAGATGCTTGCTTTAGATCTGGACAAGTAGTGGCAGAAACCTTGAGCTCGAGAGCAAGCTGCTAACCACCGAAGCCCCCTGACAGCTCTGACATGCCACGCCAGGGGAAAGGGGGAGGGACAGCATAGTAGCAAGTGGGCTGGACAAGATGGAGTCAGACATCAGAAGCAGTTTTTTATGAAGAAGATCTGGGCTAGGCGTGTGTTTGTCTGGAAGGAGTGGGGCCCTGGGTTTAGTTCTCAGCCCTGGGGCTAGAAGACAAAAGGAAGCCACAGGGACTGAGGGGCAGAAAGGGCTTGCCTGCCATGTGCCAGGTCCTGGGTTGCACCCTTAGCAAACACATAGGAACAGATGCTCCACTCACCCACACACCTTCCAAAGACATAAAAATAATTAATTTTACATCATGTGACTTATCTCAAAAAGTTGCTTTTAATTGTTTAAAAAAAAAAAAAAAAGGTCAGTTAGTACTGTGCTTAGCCGAAATGCATGGACCCTTAGGTATGAGCCCTAGCAATTTGTAAAGCTGGTCATGGTGGTGAGCACCTCTGATGCCAGGACTTGGGAGTTGGTAGGAGGGGAACCAGAAGTTCAAGGCCAGCTAGGTCTGGTGGAGTACACCACCTTCAATCAATCTCAGCACTCAGGAGGCAGAGGCGGGCGGATCTCTGTGAGTAAGGCCAGCCTGGTCCATAGCAAGTTCCAGGACAGCCAGAGCTATCTAGTGAGATCCTATCTAAAGGGGGAGGGGGAGGGCTATCACTCAGTGTACAGCATTTGCCTAGAATGTCCAGGGCTCTGGGTTCTATCTCCAGTACCACATAGGCAGGTGCACATCCCCAACACATGAAGAGGAGGTACCTAGGGAAGGACCATGGGGCCTGTACAAAAAGCCTCTAGCTGTGAATAACAACAGACTTAGAAGCTGTCTTAGTTACTTTTCTATTGCCATGACAAAACGGTGACCAAGGCAACCTATAAAGGCAAGCATTTAGTTGGGGCTGCTGATGGGTTCAGAGGTGAGCTCATTGTCATCACGGAAGAGAGTGTGGCAGCAGGCAGCTGTGGCACTGGAGCACTATCTGGTCTACAAGCGGGGTCTGGCACACATGCCCCAACAAGGACACGTCCTAACCCTTCTAAAACTGCTCCATCAAACATTAGCCTGTGTGAACCATCCTCAACCTGACCACCCCAGGAGCCAAGGGTTTGGCTTGGTGACAGAGCTCTTGCCTGACACAGGACAGGGCCCAGGGCCTCCCAACCCTGTCACATGTTCTTGGGGTGGGGGGACTCACAATCTTTCTGTTGTTTTTGCAGATTTGTGTTTGAGACAGTGTCTCAAGTAGCCCAGGCTGATTCAGATTAGATATATAATTGAAGATGACCTTGAACTTCTGACCCTCTTGCTTCTACCTCCTACATGCTAGGACAGTAGGTGTGCACTGCCATGCCCAGTTAATATGCTGAGAATTGAACTCAGAGCTTTATAGATGGTAGGCAAGCACTCTACCAACTGGGCCACATCACTAGCACCCAGATTAAAAAGCCCCATCTTACCTTTGACTGTTAAGACATAAAGGGCAGCCGGGCAGTGGTGGCGCACACCTTTAGTCCCAGGACTCTGGAGGCAGAGGCGGGTGGATCTCTGTGAGTACAAGGCCAGCCTGGCCTACACAGTGAGTTTCAGGACAGGCTCCAAAGCCATGCAGAGACGAAAGGGCTCCTTTTCTCTGTGGATGTTGTTGCTTTAAGCCAGGACCTCCCTTCTCACAGTGTTACCTTTGGTATTTACAGCAGAGGCTGAAGGGTGTGCCTGAGGTCACAGAAGCAGGAGATAGCTGAGACCCAGCCCTGTGTCCTGCCTTGCATGCTCATGTTCTCCATCTCTCTTCCGTACCCCTTCTTGTAGACCGGCATTCTCAAAGCTGGAGGACTCCTTTGAGGCACTGTCTCTGTACTTGGGAGAGCTGGCCATCCCACTGCCAGCAGAGCTGGAAGAGCTGGACCACACTGTGAGCCTGGAGTACGGCCTGACCCGGGACTCACCACCCTAGCCCTGGTCTATCCCCCTGCAGGGGGACATTCCACAGCCAGCATTGCCCCCTCTGCGCCCTGTCCTTGCTATGAGCAGGACTAGCTAGGCTTCCTGTGAATTGACGGCTTGCTTAGAAGCAGAATAAGCCATCCCTACTACCTCCCCAGGAGGCATGTGGGTGCAGGGGAACAGTCCTCCACAGGTGCTGGGGCCTGGTTACTGTCTGTAAATCCAACACTCACCTGAAAGCTGTGAAGAAGATAAAAAGAGCCTGGATTCTAGACCAGGGGTCTGTTTCTAGGGACTACTTGGGACCTTTGTGGCAGTGAGATTCTGGGAGGCTGTGGCTTTACACTAATCAACATGGCCTGGGCCTGCTGGGCAGGATGACAGAATGAACTGGCCTGAGGGCTCTGGAGACTCTGGCCCAGCAAGGTGCAGGACTTCACACGGTAGTGTGAGTGACAGAACTGGTGATTTCTCCTCCCACTCCAGGCCCTGCCCTCTGGAGCAGGTTTTGAAGAGTCTCTTAGTATGTGGTGAAACCCACAGAATCCAGAAAAAGGACTGGTTTCTGCTCACCAGCCCAGGGACCACATCGGTGTGGGAGTTTCCACTTCAACATCCTGTCTCAACAAGCAGTCACTCACAAAAGCACCAAAGAAGCTGGGGCTGGAAGGAAGAGGCCCCGCCCTTTAAAGAGCCCCATACCCTAGCTGGTGGCTCAGTCAGAAGTTCAAGACATGGTTGGATGCTAGGATGGGTCCTGGAGGCCAGTGTGGCCTGTCTCGGACTTTGGGTCTGAGCAGGGAAAGGGGAGTTCCATAAATGTCTTGGCATCCTTGTGGCAGCTACGACACATCTTTGGCATGTCTGTCCAGGCAGCAACTTAGGACAGGAATTGGTGGCTGTTGAGTCCCAAAGCTGAGAGACAAAGAGCGCTGAGCCGGGCCCTCTTGACTCTACCTCCCTTGTTGCTGGCCCAGCTCTTAACTTCCTGAGCCACACTCCAGGGCCATGGGCATTGAAACCCTCGGGGCACCTTCCATCCCTGGCTACCAGGTGTCCAGGGACTCTCCAGCTCATGAGGCTTGCATCTCCTAAGTGCGAGCTCACACCGTACTTAACAAATTGGGAACGGGTTTGGTTGGTAAATACAAAGTGTGGTGGGTTGTACTGGTGGGGGGGTGTCAGGAGAGTGGTTGCTGTTATTAGCTTTTATCGGGTGATATGTGAAATACTGTACATAAACAAGATGTAATTGTGGGGTGGGAAGCCATCTTTGGCCACTTTACTTGCTGTGTAGACTGTACTTGTGTGTGAAGTTTGCAGACTTGCTGTAGGGGAACCCTGAACTCCCAGCATGGTTCAGCATCCTGTGACTGGTTATACTTGAGCAAGAGTGGGAGTGGTGGGCCTGAGCTGGGCCATGAAGCAGACTAAATAAATTAAGCAGTTAACATAGTGATGACCCTGAGAGTGGAAAAGTAACTTAGGGCCTGACTTAAATAAACTTGGAGGACTTGGAGAGACTAAGCAGCTAAAAGCAATTACTGCTCTTACAGAGGACCAAGGTTTGGTTACCAATGCCCATGTGATAGCTCACAACCAGGTCCAGGGGCACTCAGCACCTTTCCTCAAATGTGTGCGCTCCTGTACACATGTAGTACACATAAGCACTCTCAGGCACACACACTGACATCAGTTTTGTTTAAATTTTTTAAAAGAAACATGGTCGTCTGCCCACCTTCAGGCCCAAGCCACTAAGTCCTCACATCAGGGAATGCTCAGCCTCAAGTCTAATCCCCGCCCCGATTCAGTAAAACTTCGGAGGTCATGCACATCCATACGAGGGAATCTAGTCCCTAGTAAACAACTCATGATCTGAGGTTTGCACTGCTGGAAAAACAAAAGCCACTTAGAGCATTGTCTGAGCATGAACAAATTCACCCAGGCTGATACACCAAGAATTTAACCTGATGCTGGCTGAGGTCCACTGCTAAAACTTGAAGAAACAGGCCCCACACTACTCACCCCAGTAGCTTCCCTCCTAACCCTAGGAACCACCAGCAAGAACCATCCTCAGTGTGATGGCTCAGTGGTTAAGAGCACTGGCTGGTCATCTAGAGGTCCTGAGTTCGGTTCCCAGCAGCCATGTGGTGGCTCACGACCATCTACAACAGGGTATGCGCTCTTCTGGTGTGCCGGCATATGTGCCAAACACTCATACATAAAATCAAAACCGCCATCCTCAGTCCCAGACAGCCCATCTAGCTGTTTGTCCTTCGGCTGCTATGAAACTGCCACTGGCCCCTTTGTTTCTAGTCCACAACAAAGGCTGCTGGGAGGGTTCGTCCTAATTCCTCTACCCTGGAAAAAACACTACGGGGGAGAAAACTTTAAAGATAACTTCTCGTGGCTTCAGATATTCATGGTGACCTTGACTGGGGGGAGGGTGCTGCAATGTGTAGCAGTTTGGTGGGCTATTACTACCTCCCTGTGGCTGGGCGACGGTGATGGAGAAGGCAAAGGTACCGGGGGGAGCATTCCCAGCACCACAAAAATGTGGCAAGTAGAGTTGTGTTTTGTGTTTATAGAAGTCAAATGCAGAGCAATTCCCCACAGTTCATACACAGTGTCAGAATGAGGTATATAAAACAGACAAACAGAAATACTTTCATAGAAAAGTAGGAAGTAGTACTGGTCTTTTTCCCATAGTCTATTCCACTATGGGAACCCTGAGGTCTAGGCCCCTTCAACAGATGGCTCCGGAGAGCAGCCTGGTGAAGGGAGTGGACCCCACCCACCCCTCTCCCGAGTTGGACAGTAGTGGGGCTCCTGGCTGGGGAACACAGCCAAGGCCAGGAAGAGGGACACTCCTGGCCATCCAGAAGTTGCTTTGATCTTGGGCAGGACCCTTTTCCCTCTCTGCAGACCCAGTCTGAAAGACCTGAAAACCCTTAAGGTCCTTCCCAGTGCTTGGGCGATTGTTTTGTACAGGCTGCAATCCTAGCCCCAAGGGAAGGCACTGGCCTACAGGCCATCCCGCTGCCTGCGAGCTAAGGTATACTGCCAAGGCTTACTCTAGGTTTGCCAGATGCCAACACGTGTAATTCCCATGGGTTAGCAGGCTATTCTCTTAACAGCACAAAACGGAGACGTTCTGTCCACCCCTGAAGAGAGGCAGTCTGGACGCCCACAGCTGAGGCTGAAGGTGGAAGTGGGGCCCTTCTGTGGCTTCCTAAGCGGAATGTTTAGTGCGATTCTTCCCTTCATTTCCTTACAAAACAGGAAGAGTCCCTTGGGCCCAGGCCCGGCCCACAGTTGTCAAGGCACGTCACTGCCAGCAAGCTGCAGCACACCCAACAGCCCTCATCTAGAACCCATTTGCAGCCCAAAATTCTGACTGTTGTACAAATTCATTTCTGGTTCTCAGAAGTGAGAAGGGACCTTCCATCCAAAATACTGTGTGTGTGTGTGTGTGTGTGTGTGTGTGTGTGTGTGTGTGTGTGTGTGTGTGTATTTTAATGCTGCCTCATGCATGACCTGTTTGACCTTCACTATGGATAACAGTAGACGCCATCTAGTTCCTGGGGGACAAGTGGAAAGGCAGAGGCTGAACCCACAAGTGGACAGCGGAGAGAAGCTTTGGCAAGCTCCCTGTCTTTCCCTGGCTCAGGCAGTGTGGAAGCCCTTATTTGCCACAGCACCACTGTAGTTACTGTGCCAGTCCCTATCCACAGGCAAACTCTGCTCCAAGGGATAGAAAAGGAGCATCGAAGGACCCTACCCAGCCTCCTCACGCTCACCTATGATGCTACCTGCTTCTGCTGTGTCATGAGGAGTCACATCGCCCCCTCAAAAGAAAAATGGGATAGGGTTTTAACCACAACACAAAATGCAGCTCCTCCCAGCTGCAGGTGGGTAGCCTGCCCTGTACCAGTATCTGCATGATGGGCACCTGCCCACTGCAGGGGCTCAGGCCCCAGGGGTGCCAGCCTGGCCCACAAGGAGGGTGCTGCCCTCCTGAGGGTCAGCAGGAGTCTGGTTGCTGTGTACAATGACAGTCTTCTCGTCCATGATCTCACAGGCAGGGTTGGTGAAGGCAGACAGGGGCAGGGTGATTCGCTGCATCTCCCTCTCACAGGCTTTCTGTTCCTGCTGCTCTTTCAGGTCTTTCCCCCTGTCAGGAGAAGAGAACACTCAGGCTGTACTTCTACCATGGCTTTGCTCAATCAACTCCCCAAAGCCTGAGCAGGAGTTCACCCTGGTGACGGTGAATCACCTGACCAAGCCAGGACTAACACCAGCCCAAGCCCAAGCCATTGGCGAGCCATCCCCCAGGCTGCCTTAAAACCCCACAAGCTGCTGCCAGCTCTTGTCTCTCTGCTCCTTTACCGTAAGGCGGAGGTGGCTGCTGCATGAGACTCAATGGGGACAGTGTAGAAGAAACTTAAAGGAAGGCTGGCCTTTGTTTTCAACCCAGGGGTCCCAGAGACCCGAAGAAGTACCCTAGCTTCCCAATAGAATTGTCCCGAAAACGGACCAGACCATCCTGTTACAAGACTGCCTCCTTCCGGCTGGTGAGATGGCTCAGCAAGCCAGATGACCTGAGTTCAAAATAGAACCCATCTGACCTCTACACCAGCAGTAGCGGGCATGTACCCTCTCTACCATAAATCAAGTTTTTGTTTGTTTTAAAGACTGCCTTCTTGTCCTATAGGCTTGGAAAGTGAGAGCTCAGGCTGAAACTGGATCATTCGCAACCCATTCAGAGGCAAAATGACTCAGGGCTGTATAGAACAAGGGAAACCAATGAAAATGGCTATTAAACTTCTCAGATTTGTCAATGCCTTACTTTGGGTTCTCCTGATACTCAGTGACCATCTGAGCCACAGTGCTGCTCTGCTTATGTACACTACTGACTCTGCCCGGATAGGTGTAGGTATGTATGTAGCAGGGGTATGTGTGTATGTGTGTATGTATATATGTATGAATCATCTCACTTCATTCTCCATTCAGCCTGAAGACTTAATTCTTGGTCATTTTATCTTAAAAAAATTTTTTTTCCTCTGTGGCTTTGAAGGCTGTCCTGGAACTAGCTCTTGTAGACCAGGCTGGTCTCAAACTCACAGAGATCCACCTACCTCTGCCTCCCGAGTGCTGGGATTAAAGGCTTGCACCACCACTGCCCGGCTCTTGATCATTTTATAAACAAAGAAATGGCCTAGAGCATTTAAGGGATGCTCCAAGGATGCAGGATAGGCTCCAACAAGTTTATTGTGTTCTGGCTGCTGTTATGAGAAGTTGTGACCCAGAGTCAGCCCCAGGCAGGCATAGTGGTACAGGGGATTAATTCAAACTTGGGTCTTTGTTTTTTGTTTTTGATTTTTGATTTTTTGAAGACAGTGTTTCTCTGTGTAGCCTTGGCTATCCTAGAACTAGCTCTGCAAACCAGGCTGGCCTCAAACTCACAGAGCTCCACCTGCCTCTACTGGGACTAAAGGCGAGCAGTACCACCACTATCTGGCTTCAAACTTAGGTCTTCTAACTGCACATGTAGGATGCTTCCCACAGAACCCAGCCCCCTAATGTCCAATAGACTGCATGCCAGAACCAGTACAGAACCCAGGGCAGACCCTTTAAAGCCAACAACTTGGGCTCAGCTGCCAGGGAAACCTTGTCAGAAGGAGACATGAACTAAGTTGGTGAAAAAACAACAGAGGGCTCTGGAGTTGAGGACAGATGGATGCAGTGGAGGAGGGCGTGGTCAAGGGAAACTTGGCCACAAATCTCAAAGAACCCAAGAGTGAGATGACCTCCTTCCCAGGGACTGCAGAAGTGGGAGGATGAGGAAGCAGTACTGGGCCAGTGAAGGACTTCAATGGGCCCTGACTGCAGCATGGTGTGGGGAATGTGAAGGAGAGGTGGACCACAAGAGCAACAAGGGCAAGTCATCCAAGCCAGTCATCAAAGACCGCTACATCTCTAAGATGGTCCTGCCCATTGTGTGCTGTGGAACCCATTCATCACAAGCCAGCAGAGTAGGGGCCTCTTCCTTCCAAGAGAACCTGCTCCCTGCTCCCTGCCCTGCCCAGGCCTGCCCTCCAACTGAAACAAAACACAGATCTCAGGACATATATATCTATGACCAGCTGCATTCTGCACCCATCATGTGATGTCCAGTGATAAAAGCTAGAGAACAGGGTATTGGAGGACACATGCACAGGAGCCTCGGGCCTCTCTCAATTAGCCAATCATCCTCACTGTGTATCCCAGCTCCAGCTCAGCCTATTTGTTTAACACTTGGCAAAACAGTTCTCTGTGCCTTGGTTTCTTCTTCTGCCTCAAAGATTATGTGAAATAACTTTGACACTAGTGCAGCTCTGTTGTGTGGACTCCTAGGTTATGTATGACTCACAGGGCAATGTTGCCTTCATCTCCCTTCAAAGACCTCTCCTATTACCTAGCCAAGGCAAGAACTCTTCATCTGACTTAGTAATACCCTCCTCTCTGGGCTTTAATTTCACTGTCTTAAAATAAGGAGCTGGGACATGATAATCTCCAGAGCCCTGGATGTTCTGATAAAAGTCCCCCACCTGAGATATGATCCCAAATTTAAGGTCACAGGTGGTCCGTGAGCTCATCCTCCTATGGTACCTGGGGGACAGGGACAACCAAGTTTCTCAACATGTAAGCCCAGGCCTAGCCCATTCTTTGATTAGCATCTGTACTGAGTATCAATTCCCACAGCAGAAAACCTCCCAGAGCACCCACAGGCAAAAACAGGTATACAGTTCATGGAGAGAGGGCCCTCTAGAATAACCATTCCCTCCCTCACATCCTGAGTCATCCATCAGCTGTGGCCGGCTGCCCCTCAGAAGAAAACACCCATCTGAATAATAAAAAGCCATTTTCTTCAAGACTGCTCACACAGAAACATTTGGAAGGCCTGGTGTAATTTTAGTAAGGGATCCTCCTCCCCAAGCTAGCAGTGATTTACAAAAATGAAATGTTAAAATTACTTTTGCCAGAGGCTAGAATTCCAAGTCTACAAGAAGGCTGGAGGAAGAAATCAAGCCAGGAACCTGTGACTTCCAGAACACCTAACCAAGGTACCAAGAGTGTCCTATCACCCAGGAAGAGAAGCACAACCCCGCCTTGGACAGGTGCCACACACACAAGCATCGCCCATTTCCTACATGAAGAAGCCTTGCTTTCCGTCACCCTCCTTTATGAAGCGTGTGTCTGTAGCCTTCTGAGCGGCTGATAACAGTTAGGCCTCATCACACACGTCTACGGGGGTAAAATCAATTTCTGTTAATGGGGATAGTGGGTCTGGAAGAGCAACCAAGGTTAAAGGCAGCAGACACAGTGACTAGCCTGGATTGGCCCCACCCATTTAGGAGCCTGGAAGAATGCCTGGCCCCACGTGCCTGCTGCCTGGGAATCCTGGAGATGAATTTGCTGATGCTTCCAGGCCTGCTAAACTGACCATTGGGCGGCCCAGCACCCTCTCACTGCCGTGGGGGCGGGAGACCGTCTGGCTGTGGTTGGGCAGCCAAGATAGAACAAAGGCTTATTCACCGACTGAGCTTCTCTCCCAAGGGGGTGAAATGGTGTCGACTTACCGGTTCCCTCCCTTTTTATCAGAGAATAAGAGCTAAGACAGCTCTCAGCAGGGACAGGGAGCTGCCTGGGCCAACTGCCTGGCTGCGACTCCAGGCCCGGCTGAATTGAGTTCCCTCCCTTCTGCCCCCACCTTTAGCTCTTCCTCCCAGAAGGAACTGGTGCTTGCCCACCCTTCCCAGCTCTGGGAAGCTCCTTCCATCAGCCAAGCCCTGTCTGTGGCCTTGCCTGAGTTCAAGACTTGTAGGAATTACCCTGACTGCTCTGGGGCCATATATGAAAGCTGGGCTGGCCAGAGAGAAGCCTGCCTCTGGCTTCCTACCCCAAGGTTATGGAAACAAGGGCGACCTCTTCAAAGCAGTGCAGGTTTCTTCAATGATTACTCTGAGCTGCTGCTGTTTTCCAAATCAGAAGCCATGCTGTGCCACCCTGCACACCGGAAGCTGGGCAAGTTTCCCGTGGTGGCCAGCGTACAGGCACACAACTTGTACACTCAAAGCTCACTGACTCCATCCTCATGAGACCTATGTCCTATTACCTATTACCATCTCAGACCTGAAAAGGCCGAGAAGGGGCCGAGAGGGAGAGAAGTGTTAAGCCAAAGTAGAGCTAGGATTTAAACCAAGCAATAGTGTCCTCTAACTAAACATCAGTGCTGAGGGCGGGGGTCATCATAGCTCACTCCCTACCTGGTGAGTAAACAGGCACAGCAAAGGTAAATAACGTGCCTGTGTACGGCATCCACAAGAGGAAGGTATTCCAGAACAAGATCTCCTTTCTTTTGCTCTCTAAACTGTCATTCTTTGAGAAGTTTCCCTTTTTCCTACTGCCCTGGGTAAATTTAGATGGGGCTACTGGGCTTTGATGGATTTTCTGGAGATAACTGACAGCCTTTAGATGTATCTTCCTGTGCAGCCAGACATGGTGGCTCATGCTTCATACCTGTAATCCCAGCACTCAGGGAAGCTGAGACATACAGACCAAGAATTCCTGGCCATGGCTGGAGATTGGCTCAGCAGTAAAGAGCATGAGTTGCTCTTTCAGAGGACCCAGGTTTGATTCCCAGTAACCACATGGCTGCTCACACCCCTCTGGTATGCACATGGTACAGACATACATGCAGGTAAAACATCCATCCACACATATAAAAAAAGGAGAGAGAGAGAGAAAGAGAGAGAGAGAGGAGTCCTTAGCCAGCCTGGGTTACAGAGTGAAACCCTATCTCAAAACAAGAGCCAGCCAGAACTCAGGAGGCAGAAGCGGGTGGATCTCTGTGAGTTTGAGGCCAGCCTGATCTACAGAGTGAGTTCCATTACAGCCAGGGCTACACAGAGAAACCCTGTCTTGAAAAACAAACAAAAAAGAAGAAATGTGCACACACACAACAACATAAAGTCTGGCCCCCTAGGACATGGTACTTTAACTCTTCTAGGCCTCGGCTCCTCATTAGGAAGAGCCTTGGGCAAGATCAGGGACAGGGGTACAGCAGGGCCTGACTTACCAAGAGGATATGAAACAAGAAGCTGCTATTGTGATTTGTATCTGATTACTGTTCTGCTGCTTACATACAACATTTAACAATACCTTTGGGTGGCTGAATGTATGGGGAGAAATATCCCCATTTAACAGGCAAGATACCCACCAAGCAAAGGCCACCTGAAGTGGCATTCACGTTCCTGCTGTAGCCCTGACATCTATCCGCTTACTGGGGGGAAGATGAGGCTAGAAGCTTGTTTCTCCCCTGCATGTGGTTTCCTGTTGAACAGGTTGTTCTCAGAGCTTGTTTGCTAAGGAAAGGGGTGGTCTGAGGTTAGTGACAGTCTGGTGACTTAGTGCCTTCCCCTGAGTTTACAGGAAAGTAATCTCAAGGTCACATGTCAGTCCCATGACTGACTAAAAGAGTAAGATGACGAAAAGAGAAAAGACCTAGTTTCTACACTGGACACCAGCTGAGCTTGGAATTAAAAGCAGTTACTTCAAGCACCTGAAAGGTCTGGAAACTGACACGGATTGGATAGCAGCCAAATGCTGCCCCAGGCTGAGGACAAGGGGAGTATTTCAGGGCTCAGTTCAGCATGGTGTGGGTCAATGGCTTGTTAGGGCAGAGCAACTACTCTGTCCCTTCATTTTTCAAGTGAGCAAGCAGGTGCCCCTGGACTTCCAGGTGGACCACAACCTCAGTCTGGGAGTCAGGATGCTCTCTTGGGCCAATGGTTCCTGACTTTGAACCTCTCTGCTCTCTGACCCATGGACAATCAGAGAAACAAGTAAAACCATCTGTTCATGCAAATGGGAGAGCTGGGATTTAAACCAATACAGTCAACAGTGTAAGGATTGAGGCATTACACTGGCCTGCCCCTGTCACCTGGCAGAATGCACTCAGTACTCTGGTCATCCCAGGGTTCCATGAATACTAGTCTGCAGGCAGGTGTAAAGGACCCTTTAAAGGTCAGACCCCGCCAGTTATGCTCTCTTTTGCTCTCTCTCTCTCCTGCTTTCGGTTGGTCACCAGCTACCCCCTCCTTTTCTCTTCCCCTCTCTCTCCCCCTCTCCTCTTCTGTTCCCGGTGCCTCTATGTCTCTTCCCTTCTCCCTCACTCCCCTTCCTAAATAAACTCAGCATTTAAGCTCTATCTGCCTGGCGTGTTGTTCCCTTCCCCCTCGGTCACCCTCACCTGCTATGCTCTCCCACATTGTCCCTTACCTTAGGACCCTCACCACTACCCCCTTCTCCAGCTTTTATTCTTATAACTGTACCTAAGGAACAACAAACAGTGTCCTTTCCAGAAGCATCAGAGCTGCACAGTCATCATCCCTACCTCCTCACCTACGAGTAAACGGAGGCCCAGAAAAGGTAAATAACAAGTACCCACGTTTTATAGACAAGCACAACAGGACTATCTGTGAACCATTCACTGTGCCATGCACAGAGCGAAGCTGTCACACACCTTTGCCCCCACAAGAATGCTCTGGACTAACAAAAGCGACCTACACAGTCACACACCTGGCAGTCTGTTTGTTCTACCCTATTCTGGATGTATAACCTCAGGCAAGGCACCTATTCTTTCTTGCCTCATTTCCTCTCTGAGAGCTGGGAAGAAGAACAGCATTTATCTCTTAAGAGTGGCTGTGAGCATAACCTCAGCCTTCAGCAGGAGGAAGCGGGAGGGTTACAAGTACAAGGGGCCAGGCTTGGTGTCTTTAAGGCCAGCACTCTGGAGGGAGCGGCAGGCACTCCTCGGTGAGTTCAAGACTGATCTACCTAGAGAGAGAGATCCATGCCAGCCAGAGTTAAATAGGGAGACCCTGTCTCCAAAAACAAAGTAAGAACAAAAAGCCACCTCTATCTCCTCTTCCACCACCAACAATAAGTTCAAGATCATTTTTTTTAATTTTTTTTTTTTTTTTTTTTTTTGTCATGTAGTAAATTCAAGGCCATCCTGACCTACATGAGACCCTGTCTCAAAACAAAAACATGAAGCTGGGACCTGCCAAGCCTTTAAAGCAGCAGCAACAGTTGACACCTGCTGCTGATGTGGTGATTATCCAACACTTCCCCTTTCAATCTGTAATTTGGCTGAGTCCAGTACCTCTAAGAACACACTGGGTTTATAAAAAGATGGCTGGGAGACACTTCATTGTGGCTCAGATAGTAGTTCTCACTGCTGGACAATGTAGCTCCCTTTTCAGGAAGCTTCCTTTATAGGAAGGCTTCTTGGGCCAGAGAAATACAGCTGATCCTTGGGGCTGGAAGTCAAATACCCTGTTTTTGTCTAACAGCCGGTTCTGACAACCGGCTGTTTGACTCTTAGAACCACACATCACCGATTATGAGAGACCTGCCCCATGTGGCTTCTCAGGAGACCTTTCAAAATAAGCACCCCACCTCCTGTGGTCCAGCTACAAGTTTGTCCCTGCTTCCCAAGCCTCTTGTACTTTCCTATGTGGTAAGGAGTAGCAAATGGATTTCTTTTGTAATCTTTTTCTTTTTTCTTTTCTTTCTTTCTTTTTTTTTTTTTTTTTTTTTTTTTCTCTTCCTACCCTAAAAGGCATCCCACTGAGGAATTTAAGCCTCAACTGAGACTGCAAGACCAGGGCCTAGGAATCTTTTCCAGTAGCAGAATGTTTTGTTTTGACACATGGTCTCACTCTGTCACCCAGATCCACCTACAAATACGGACAATTCACCTCCTGCCTGCTGAGCTTAAAGACCATGTCTTAGGGCTGGAGAGATGGCTCAGCAGTTAAGAGCACTGGCTGTTCTTCCAGAGGACCAGGGGTTCAATTCCCAACACCCAATGGGGAGCTCACTGTGTGTAACTCCAGATCCAGGGAATTCAAATACACTTCTGGCCTCCCTAAGCACCAAGTACTCATGGGGTATACAGACATACATTACTTGCAAGACAAAACAAAACAAAACAAACTCAAGCAAGGAAGATAAAAATAACTCTTGGTCAGGAAGCTGCACTCAGAAGGCAGAGGCAGGCAGATGGATCTCTGTGAGTTTGAGGCCAGCCTGATCTACAGAGTGAGTTCCAGGACAGCCAGGGCTACACAGAGAAACCCTGTTTGGGTTTCTCCTCTTCTTGAGACAAGGCCGTACAGTCTTCAAACTTGTAAACCCCCTGCCTCAGACCTCTGAGTTCTGGGATTACAGCAGGTATACACTATCACACCCAGCACAGTAGCAGAATTTTAAAATTTAACAAAATGAATCTGGCCTCCTTCAGAAAATGGTGACACCTGCTCATAACTCCCACTACTCAAGAGGTGGAGGCAAGAGGATTATGAGTTTGAGACTACTCCTTCAAGGCCAGTCTGGGCTAGGGATGGGGGGGGGGAACCTTGGAGGAGGGGGTGGTATCAGTATCCAAGTGTTTGCTCTGGCTGGTAGCAACCAAAAGCAAATCTCAACTCTAGCTGGTTTTTCTTCCTTCAGATCTTACTTCCTTTTGAAAGACGGCAATAAGTTGATCTGATATGGTGTCTGTTCCTTAGCCCTATTCCAAGAAAGCCAGGAAGAGACACTACTCACCTCTTGTAAGTGTAGCCCAAGATGATGCCAATTCCAATGGCAATGATGATCACCATCATAGTAATGCCCAGCACATAGCCTACGGGGGACAGGACACAAAGTCCTATTAGCCACACCCCAATCAGCAAATGACATCATCTAATGAATTCCAACAAAGGCAGCAGTGGTGCAGCCATACCCAGAGTTCCCAGGTCCTTTTTCTCCTTGGAGTTCATCCTCACACGCTGACTGATTCCAATCACTGGCTGCACCTCTGCTGCGTCACCCCTTGCTGGAAGGACGTTAGCAGGAGGGAACACCTGAGCCTCTGTGTCACCTGGTGCCTCGGACTTCTCTTCGAGCTCTGTTGTAGAAGCTGAAGGTGCTTGGGAAGTGGTCTCTGGAGGTGAGGTGAGAAATAGCTCGCATCAAAGATTGCCTTGAGTGCATTCTACAGCTAAACCTGTGTTGGGGGCATTAGGGGAGTGGGTCCACCTTAAAATGCTCCGCTAGACTGAAATCAATCTCTGTCCCAGGCCAGGAATGGTGGTGAACACCTGAATTAGCTCACTCAGGAGGCAGAGGCAGGAGAATCTTTGTGAGTCCCATTCCAGCCAGGACTGCCCAGTGAGACCATGCCTCAAAAACAAAATGGAGAAGACAACTCCCCTGCCTGCCCCAGAGGCAAGATCAGGCTTGAATGTGATGAGATGTGATGATACGGGGCAAATGTGAGGAAAGTGTCTTAAGGAACAGCCTCTTTCCTGCTTTCCACTCGTTTTTTCAAGTCCTTAATACTTCCCAACACCCAGCGGGGCTTGCCAGAGGGATTCTCCAGAGGATGCCCCATCTTCAGTAGACAGTCCACACTGAGCACAAGATTTTGTGGCAATCCCAGTGTTAAGTGCTTGACCCTGATCATTTCATTTAATCGTAGACAACTCTCTTAGTTTTCTGAAGCCTAAGAGTTTTGAATACAAATCCGTACACCCCCATGGCCTCTGGCAGGTCTCAGAACTTCTGGGTGACTCAGTTCCCTCACACAGCGTCTTCCCAGGATTGTAAGCCTGGTGCCTAGCCGGTGGGGCGCTTCGCTGAAGAAGCAAGCAGCCTCCCATCCTTGTTTACAAGCACTCGCGGAGGATGAGCTCACTCCGAATGCCGCGGCAGCCAATGGGCTTTGGGCTCCGCGGCCTGGAGATAGCTCCGACCAATCGGGCGGCGCGGGGGTGGGACGGGGCGGGGCGGGCGTCGAGCGGCCGCACGTGCGCGGCGGGTGTAACCGCCCTGCTTAGCGCTGGGGGCTGGCGTCGCCTCCCCGGGGTCCAGGGCGGGTACCTGGACAGCGCACGTCCTCGCAAAGCCGCTTCTCAGGGACGCCCGTCTCGCTGCTGATGTAGCACCAGGGCCCGCGCGGGTCCTGGTCCGGGTTCCGGCAGTAGTTGTGGTTGCCGGGGCCTGGGGCGGAGAAGAGCTGTCAAGGACCGCACCCGCCGCGCTCCATCCCCGCCCGCCTCCCCGGCGGACACTCACTGGGCTCGATGGGCGACTCGCGGTCGCCTTGCGCGGCCAACCAGTTGAGGCAGCGGAGACCCGGCGCGGGCGAGGGCTGGTCATCCCGGTACAGGTGGCCGTTGTCCCAGAAGCAGCCTGTGAGGAGGAGGAGGAACCCGCCCGGGACCCTGAGTGTGGCTCTCTGGCCTCAGAGTGAAAGTGGAGAGCGCGTGTCATGCCCCTAGCAGCGTCTGGTCCACAGACCACACTCAGATTTAGCTTTCTTTCTTTCTTTCTTTCTTTCTTTCTTTCTTTCTTTCAAGCCTGCACAAGTGCAAGGGGTTGTTCCTCTTGGACTTGAGAGCACTATGGAGGTGCAGGAGGCCTGCCTAAGGTCAATCTGTGGAGATGGCGAGTTTGGTTCTGGGCAGTCAGGCCTGGAAGTCATCCCAATGTTGAGAAGTCAGTGTTATATAAACTGATGTTCCCTTCTCCACGGATGCGGCCACCTTCTGCTAGTTTAACAGATACCACCAGCTCCCAATTCCACAAAAGCCTTTGATTTAGTGAAGCAAAAGAGTCGAGACTCCAGCTGACGGAATCTGCCACATCTCTTCAGCTCCCGCTCCCCTCAGCAGCAGAGAGCCACGGGAGGAAGCTGGAGAAGGGAGGTCTGTGTGCCCGCCACACCAAGCAAAAGGACTTTAAAAGGGCAGGACTCTGGGGAGGAGAGGCGAAGAACTCCCGAGCTCCATCCACTCATGTACAAGGAAAGGGAAAGAGAAAGTGACTACTTGTCTTTGTTCTTAATGGCAAAGATGGAGCTGCAAGCCTCTGGCAAAGAGGAGAGAGAGAGGGAAGAAAGCTTTCGTAGGATAACAAGAAAACAACCAAAAGCTTCCTTCCCTGCCTGCCTGGTTGTGTTTGGGAAATCAGGGGCTCTACCCGTTCTGCTTCATTAAGTTGTTGCAGAAAGAAAAGCAATTGTAATCTCACCTCCAGATCCATAGGCTCCTGCCAGAAGCATGTTGCTGAGAAGAAATGTATGTACCCAAGCCAACAGCATCCTCGCCTCTTCCGGCTTGCAGGTGACTGAACCGCCAGTGTCGAAATGGGGTCTCCTTGGCAGCAGTTTTGTCTCCTAGTTGCCAGCCTTGCAGTGAGACCGGCCCTTGTTATGCTCTTCTGGTAAACAGCCTCTCTTTAGACCCGGGAGCTTCCCAGCTAGCTTGCTGCAGCCGAGGTGTTTTTCAGCTGAAAGGCGCCCCCTGGGTCCTAAGCCGCCTAGACCATACCAGATCACTAACCCTGAGCCAAGAGAGGAACCCAGCCAAACCGAGAATGGCAGAAAGGTTCAGGCTTTGCTTAGCAGCAGATCCGTTTGAGACCTGCACGACTGCATCCCCAGAGCTTTTCTTCTTTTTCCATCTGTGAGTACAGAGTCATTGTGCCAGAAGGCATCGTGGAGTGGGGTGGATTAGGAGTGCTAAGGCATAGCACAGTAATAAGAGATGATACTGACTACAAAAGCACCAGGCATTTAAGACCACATAGGAGCACAAATAATAGCTGGCTGGAAGCAACTCTATACCAGGGTCAGGTCAGGCACATTCCTTTACTCACATCTGAGGTTTAGGATGGCAGAAAGGGTATCTTTAGTTGAAAATACATGTTATGAAAACATTGGGTTTGCTAGCTGTATTGTAAAGTTTGCCATATCTACCAAGCCCTGAAGTAGAATGTCTCCACCACCACCACCCCAGTCTGTGGGAAATCCAGTTGCAGTAACTTACACCTAGCATTAAACCACATCCATGTAACTTGGGGCTCGTGGAGTTAGGAGAAGGGCCCTCTTTCTAGCTGGCTGAGTTGAAGGTCCCAAGCAGCCTCAGTAAACTGAGAGATAGAGCAGAGTGATTTGCCAAGACTACCTTGTGACTCAGGCAAATCCCAGAATAGAAATGGGAGACTCTGTTTTGATCTCACCACAATAATGTAGGGAGGGGAAAATAACACTGCTAAACGAGCTTTATAGGCTTTATCATAGTAGAAAGCTGATGCGATTTTTCTTAGAAGTTACTGGACTGTGACGTATCTTAAAAAGGTTTATTTTTATTTGTGTGTCTGTGTCTGCACTCAGAGGCCACAGGAAAGCTCCAGGTCCTCTAGAACAGAGATTACACGCAGTTGTGAGCCATGGAATGTGGCTGATATGGGCACTGGAAACTCAACTCAGGTCCTCTGGAAGAACAAGTACTCCTGACCTCTGAACCATCTCTCCAACTCACCAGAGGTGCTTTTAAAAAACATGTCAGGGCTGAGAGATTACTCAGTAGTTAGGACCACTTTTTCTTGCAAAAGGCCCAAGTTTAGTTACCAGCATTTAGCTCAAAACCAACTATATCCAGTTCCAGAGGATTCAGTGCCCTCTTCTGACTTCCATAGGTACCAGACATTCACCTGGTACACATCATATATGCTGGCAAAACACTCGTACAAATAAATGCTCCCAAAAGAATTTGCATGTGTGTGGGGGCAGGGTATGTGAGTATGTGGCATGTGCCCATGTGTGTAAGTATGGAAGCCAGAGCAGGATGTCCAGTGTCTCACTGCCCTGAAACAGGGTTTCTTACTGAACCAAAGTGGGACATTTAAGCGAGGCTGGCTGGCAAGTGATCACCTGGCAACACACCCCAGTTCTATGCATCCTGCTGTCTATCTATGCTCTCCAGTGCTGGGTTATAAGGCACACACAGCCATGCCTAGCTTTTAATATGCATGATGAGGATTTCAACTCAGATGCAGAGACTTGTCCTCTGAACATCTCAGGTGAGAGTGTGTCTGATCTCTAACACAACACAAACTAGGTAGGGAGTAAGCCTGTGATTCCAGCTTTGGAAGTGGAGGCAATTCAAGGTCACCCTTGGGTGTGTATAAGGAGTTTGAGGCCAGCCTAGGTAACATGTGATCCTGACTTAAAAAAAAAAAAAAAGTTCTGTAAACAAATACCTACTAGATGCTGGGTGGTGGCAGTGCACACCTTTAATCCCAGAGACAGGAGGATCTCTCTGAGTTGGAGGTCATCTACAGAGTAAATTCCAGGACAGTCAGGGCTACACAGAGAAGCCCTGTCTTTAAAAAAAAAAAAAAAAGAAAGAAAGAAAGAAAGAAAAGGAAGGAAGGAAAGAAGGGAAAGGAAACTGCTAGATACTAGGTGGTATTTCTAGATACTGGGACTTCTTTGTGTGAACAAAATATTTGAAATCTGTACCGTCATTAAGTTTAAATTCTAGTTGGAAGAGACCTATTTGAAAGGTCAGGATTATTACAGAAAAGAAAGTGATTCAAAGTGAGAGACAGATTAATGGAGCGTGTTTCACCAATGTACTTTCACAAGCTGGATGGTGGCATGTGCCCACCTTTGATCCTAGAACTCAGGAGGCAGAGACAGACCAATCTCTGTTGAGTTCGAGGCCAGCCCGGTCTGCAGAGCAAATTCCAGGACAGCTAGAACTGTTTGTTACACAGAGAAACCCTGTCTCAGAAAAAAAAAAAAAAAGAAAAAAGAAAAAAAATACACACATACACACACACAAGCTTGGTACTGTAGTTCATACCTGTACCTCAGAGGCTTAGGACTGTGAGGTAAGAGCACTACTTACCATTTTAGTTGGTAGCATGAACCTGGGGGAGTGGGGCCTAAAAACAAAGCAAACTAAAGTCTCATGCAGTAGCCAGATTTACTCATGATACCAGAAAATATATACTCTAAGGGTTAAGAAGAGTCACCCAAGTAAAACTGTATAATCAAAGAACAAGCCACACATGGCAATAAAAAAACAAAAACCCGTTTTCTCATAGAGCATCAGCAGCTGGAGTAAACTCATTTCTAGCTCCTACACCTGGGAGAGGCACAAAAACATTTCAAGAACAATTCTGTGTTTTAAAGAAAATGAAGTCACAGGACTCTTGTTTTCTCACAAGCTCAGAATTGTCACACAGCTCCATTCTTGGTCTGACAGAGGATCATGAGTTTGAAACCAACCTGGGCTACATATCAAGTTCTAGGTCAATCCAGTTTAGTGACAGTTTATCTTAAAAATACAGATGTGTCTGGGTGTGGTAGCGCATGCCTTTAATCCCAGCATTCAGAAGGCAGAGGCAAGCTGATCTCTATGAGTTCAAGACCAGCCTGGTATACAGGTCAAATTCCAGAACAGCCAAAGATACACAGAGAAACTGTGTCTCAAAAATAAAAAAAATAAAAATGAGTTGCATATAGAGACCAGAGGCATTTGACAGCATGCTTGGCAAAAGTATGGTTTTTAATCTCAGAGTAGCAAAGGTTCTTCGAGGTTGCTCCCTTAGCATCTAATCTAATGTTCTTCCTCTGACCCTCAGTATGTACTTCTGCTGGACTGTTTTTTTTTTTTTTTCCTGAAACCATTATAGATACAGGCTGGTACAGGCCAGTCAGCACCTACATCTTTTTCAGAGTTTCTGTCTACCATGCTCATGTGTAGATGCCAGTATTTCACCATCAGAGAGCCCAGGAGGTCTGTCACCCTCTTCGGCCTTCCATAGGCACCAGGACTCACATGCTCCTTAGACACACACATACCATAATTGAACATGAATATTAAAACCACACAATAGGACTGGAGAGATGGCTCAGATGTTAGGGGCACCGGCTGCTCTTCCAGATGTTCTGAGTTCAATTCCCAGCAACCACATGGTGGCTCATAACCATCTGTAATGAGATCTGGTGCCCTCTTCTGGCCTGCAGAGATACATGCATACACAATAAATAAAATTTTTATTAAACAACAATGTGGGACCAGGCATGTAACTCTGTGACAGAGTGATTACCTAGCCTGCATAGGGCCCTGACTGAGTTCCATCCCTAAGACTGAAAACAAAACAAAACAAACAAAACTATATATTAAGCATACATAAGATGGAAGTTCATATTTTCAAAAAAATAGCCTTCGGGTTTGTATATTTTGACTAAAATACTATTTTCTTAGCAGGCATCATAAAACCATTGCCTATAATTTGTTTTGTTTTCTGAAACAGGATTTTTCTGTGTAGCCCTGGCTGCCCTGGAACTCACTCTGTAGGCCAGGCTGGCTTTGAACTGAGAGAACTTGCTTCTTTCTGCCTCCCAAAGGAGTACACCACTGTGCCTGGTATCACCAATACATTTTGCATATTCCAAAATATTTCTATCACAATCTCAAGAGCTACTTTGATAGCACACCATGTGGATGGACTAGCTGGAGTCATCCTATTACATCTCACTCTAAAGAGTTTTACTGACACCTTGACCTGCTTTTGCTGATTTAAAAAAAAAAAAAAAAACCAGTAAAACTGAAGCTAAAAAGCGTTTATGCCTTTGTTATTGCAGCTCGACTAGTATATCTGTAATCAAAATGAACTGGCAGTGACTGTTGGGAAGTGCTCTGGAGGCTACTTCTTGACATTATAACATGGTTTTGTCTCTGGGTTGGCACTCATTTAATACAAAACCAGGGGTCTATTCTTGGAAGTGTTTGATAAAATGTACTGTATTGTCTTCAGGGGACAATCTAAAACATTTGACTAGTATGATATAATATTATGGCAGTAATATTTTCTGAAGGAATTGGAAATCTGGAATAACAGGACATAAAATAGTCTTAATGCACCACCACATGAAGAAAAATTCAAATGTGCATGATGAGAAAAAGATCAAAACATCAATAATGACAGATGTATCTGTGAACTGAGCCTGATTTCCTTAAGCTAGTTATCAAACCTATTAGAATGTTCGTTTAAAAGACTGAGAAACCCTTTACATCCTTATTTACTTATAGACAGGGTCTCAGACTGACCTTAAACAACTGATCCTCCTGTTTCTACCTCTCAGCTACTAGATACACACACCTAGCTACAAATCTTTTATTATTGGGGAAATAAATCCAAATCATGCTAATTAGTAAGGGGAGAAAAAAAAAATGACTAAGCTGAAAAAAATTGTAGCCCCTCATATGTTTTCTAGACAGTGCTGCTTTTAAGACACAGCACTGAGTACATTCTTACAAAGTGCATCAGTTAGGGAGGACAGCATTTTGGGGTATGTGTTTGAGACAAGATCCTGTCTTGAGAAACAAAACAAAA